ACGATGGAGTATGTCACAAGCTGCAGGTACGTGGAATCGGCGTCCCGATTCCATATCACCATACTGAAGGAGCGTCTTCGTTGAGTGGTGACTCCAACAGCATGCACCACTCCCCTGCACTGAAATCGTCTGTGTTGCTGAAGTCGTCTGTCCCGTTGTAGTTTGGGGTCCCCACACACACACACACATACCCAGTCTGAGCTGGTTGTCTCGAGTCGTCATCTTCTTCTTCACTCTCCGAATTGTGCTTGCATGCAGAATCTCCACAGAAAGTCTTCAGAAGCTTGCATTCAGAATCTCCACAGAAAATCTTCAGAAGCTTGCATTCAGAATCTCCACGGAAAATCTTCAGAAGAGATATGGTTGTTTTCAGCAGGTACGTTTTCACACTTACCATCGGAGGTCTTCGTTGGCCGCAGCTCCGATGGTAAGCCTGCGGCAGATGTCTTCCTTAGAAACAGGAATTCCACACACACCTACCCGGTCAGTGCCGGTTGGTAATGATTCACTCTCATAGGCTAAGTTCTAGACAAACATGATGTAACATCAACAACACAACAATAACGACGCGGACGACGAAGAGAAACAGCAAACAGACGAACAACAACATCGACGACGACGAGGAAACGACGCAACAACCAACACCACAATAACTGTGGCTGCAACATCTACACGAACGACAAGGACGACGGGAACGAATAAAAGCAACACAGGAACACGACGACGACACGACTGAACGAAAAAACAATGATAGCAACACAACAGGCTCGCTGCTTTCCGAGGAGAGCTTCGCTACCACAGGGGATGCATCATACTAGCAGCTTGGCGTTCTTCAGTGAAAACATCATCTCAAACACCACCTTCAAGTGCCAAAGGAGGTGGTATTCAGAAGGCACAGTAATGTAGCAGCTTGGAGATCTGCAGCGAAATCATCATCTCAAACACCATCTTCAAGTGCCAAAAGGAGGCGGTCTTCAGGAGGCACATTAATGGATACATCATCTGGTAAAACACACATAAAGATAGTCCTTTCATCATAGCAGCTTGGCGGTCTTCAGCGAATACTAACACCCAGAGCACCATCCTTTGCGTCAACGGAGGATCGAGGTATTCAGAAGACGCATTAGTAATAAACATCACCAACCTAAGCGCGCAAAACTACTATAACATCGGCGGCATCATCCTACATGTGTATCAGAGCTTTTCGGACGGCCCGATTCCGAATCTTGACACACCGCCTCTGCCACTCTCACAGGAGGATCTATAAATGTCAGCTTTCCGGTTGTCTTCAGCGTGTAACTCCGGAGGTCTTCAGAATGGTCTTCAGAATGTGCGTTCGAAAACACAAAACCCAGAGGTACAACAAGTAACATTCTTACGGCGATATCCTCTTGGATGTCTTCAGCGGTCAGAAATCACCCAGCACACCATCTTTTGCGTCGTCGAAGAGGTACGTAGAGGACGCATTACTAAGAACATCACCAACTAAAGCGCTCAGTAGATATAGCATCGGCGACATCATCCTACATGTGTGTCAGAGCTTTTCGGGCGACCTGATCCCGAATCTTGACACACCGCCTCTGCAGTAGTTACATTACCAGGCCGCACAGGTTCGGGACTGTGGGAATTCGTAGAGGTGGACTTCAGATTAATCCGTAGACAGCTAGGAGCGCAATCATTCTCAGGAGGTATTCATCTTGCGCATACAATGTTCATCTGCCAGAGGACTTCATATGTTTTCCGCGTCTGGATGTTTTCATCAGCTGGGAGCATTCACATCTCATCGTTCGGTAATTTTCAGCGTTAGATGTAGACTGAAGTCCACTATTCAGAAAGAAGACAGGGACTCAGGGAGTATTCATCATTCCCCCGCAGACCGAGGGGCCGGCAGCGCTTTGGCAGAATTACTACCGGGAATCACACACATACCCAGTCTGAGCTGGTTGTCTCGAGTCGTCATCTTCTTCTTCACGCTTCGAATTGTGCTTGCATGCAGAATCTCCACAGAAAGTCTTCAGAAGCTTGCATTCAGAATCTCCACAGAAAATCTTCAGAAGCTTGCATTCAGAATCTCCACGGAAAATCTTCAGAAGAGATATGGTTGTTTTCAGCAGGTACGTTTTCACACTTACCATCGGAGGTCTTCGTTGGCCGCAGCTCCGATGGTAAGCCTGCGGCCTAGAGCAGGCCATGTAACTCAATAAAGATATGGCCCCCTGCATCCCCTGCATTCTCGTATATGCATTACAGAACTGTCGGAAAAGATGTCTTCCTTAGAAACAGGAATTCCACACGCACCTACCCGGTCAGTGCCGGTTGGTAATGATTCACTCTCATAGGCTAAGTTCTAGACAAACATGATGTAACATCAACAACACAACAATAACGACGCGGACGACGAAGAGAAACAGCAAACAGACGAACAACAACATCGACGACGACGAGGAAACGACGCAACAACCAACACCACAATAACTGTGGCTGCAACATCTACACGAACGACAAGGACGACGGGAACGAATAAAAGCAACACAGGAACACGACGACGACACGACTGAACGAAAAAACAATGATAGCAACACAACAGGCTCGCTGCTTTCCGAGGAGAGCTTCGCTACCACAGGGGATGCATCATACTAGCAGCTTGGCGTTCTTCAGTGAAAACATCATCTCAAACACCACCTTCAAGTGCCAAAGGAGGTGGTATTCAGAAGGCACAGTAATGTAGCAGCTTGGAGATCTGCAGCGAAATCATCATCTCAAACACCATCTTCAAGTGCCAAAAGGAGGCGGTCTTCAGGAGGCACATTAATGGATACATCATCTGGTAAAACACACATAAAGATAGTCCTTTCATCATAGCAGCTTGGCGGTCTTCAGCGAATACTAACACCCAGAGCACCATCCTTTGCGTCAACGGAGGATCGAGGTATTCAGAAGACGCATTAGTAATAAACATCACCAACCTAAGCGCGCAAAACTACTATAACATCGGCGGCATCATCCTACATGTGTATCAGAGCTTTTCGGACGGCCCGATTCCGAATCTTGACACACCGCCTCTGCCACTCTCACAGGAGGATCTATAAATGTCAGCTTTCCGGTTGTCTTCAGCGTGTAACTCCGGAGGTCTTCAGAATGGTCTTCAGAATGTGCGTTCGAAAACACAAAACCCAGAGGTACAACAAGTAACATTCTTACGGCGATATCCTCTTGGATGTCTTCAGCGGTCAGAAATCACCCAGCACACCATCTTTTGCGTCGTCGAAGAGGTACGTAGAGGACGCATTACTAAGAACATCACCAACTAAAGCGCTCAGTAGATATAGCATCGGCGACATCATCCTACATGTGTGTCAGAGCTTTTCGGGCGACCTGATCCCGAATCTTGACACACCGCCTCTGCAGTAGTTACATTACCAGGCCGCACAGGTTCGGGACTGTGGGAATTCGTAGAGGTGGACTTCAGATTAATCCGTAGACAGCTAGGAGCGCAATCATTCTCAGGAGGTATTCATCTTGCGCATACAATGTTCATCTGCCAGAGGACTTCATATGTTTTCCGCGTCTGGATGTTTTCATCAGCTGGGAGCATTCACATCTCATCGTTCGGTAATTTTCAGCGTTAGATGTAGACTGAAGTCCACTATTCAGAAAGAAGACAGGGACTCAGGGAGTATTCATCATTCCCCCGCAGACCGAGGGGCCGGCAGCGCTTTGGCAGAATTACTACCGGGAATCACACACATACCCAGTCTGAGCTGGTTGTCTCGAGTCGTCATCTTCTTCTTCACGCTTCGAATTGTGCTTGCATGCAGAATCTCCACAGAAAGTCTTCAGAAGCTTGCATTCAGAATCTCCACAGAAAATCTTCAGAAGCTTGCATTCAGAATCTCCACGGAAAATCTTCAGAAGAGATATGGTTGTTTTCAGCAGGTACGTTTTCACACTTACCATCGGAGGTCTTCGTTGGCCGCAGCTCCGATGGTAAGCCTGCGGCAGATGTCTTCCTTAGAAACAGGAATTCCACACACACACACACACACACCCGCCAGCACCCACCCACACGCACACACACACACACGCGCGCCCACACACGAACACACAGACACAGACACAGACACAGAACAACGGCAGCAGCAGCAACTGCAGCTTCAATTTTGGATAAAAACACGAACCACCACATTCACCTAAACCCTAAACCCTATAAACCTTGAACTCCTAAACCCGTGCTTTAGGGCTTGGGATGGTTAGGGTCTAGGATAGGGTTTAAGGTTGTTTTTTAAACGCCTCTTTTCCGACTTGCGAGTGCTCGTCGAAAATCCCAAGGGGGAAGGCAACTGGGCCACTTGCGGGCCACTCTGCTCACGTCACTTTCGACCGACCAAAGGGCTTAGGGTTTAGGGCTTAAGGTCTAGGACAGTTTAGGGTTTCAAACGGTCCCAGATAAGACGCAGACGGCGCATTGAACCTGCCCAGTAACACATGGAACCCATAGAATAGAGTGGAGCTCGCACGTGTGAGTTTCCGAAAATACGGGACCCAGCACCCCAAATATTAGGATCCCTTTTGCAAGGACTCCACTTAATGTTCGGAAACTCCGCGTGTACCAACCTGAACCCAGAACTCTAATCTCCAGAAACCCCCGAACCGCCAAAACTACCCTAGAGGCATCTACCCTGAAACTTAAATCCCGAACCCTTCGGAAATTGTGCATCACCGTATATACCCCTCTGATAACACCCTTGTAAACTAGCAAAAGCAACGTCAAAACAAACACCCTAGACCCCAAACCCGAGGCCCCACCCCCCTCTCCTAACCCTAAACCCTAAAAAATGAAAAGCTAAAAACCTTAAACCCTAAAATCCTAAAACCCGAAAAGCCCTAAACCTCAAACCCTAAAAGCCTTAAACTCAACCCTAAAGCCCTCAACCCTATAAACCTCTCAACCCTGAACCTCTCAACCCTAAACTAACCCTAAACCAGGTCATCTCAGGGTCCACGGCAGCAGAGAGAAGGTCGGGAGAGAGCAATCGCACGCAAAAGGGCGTTCTCTTCGACTGAGGCGGGCTTACTTAGAGGATAGGGCTCCTTAACGGGATCTATAGGGGGTCCTTAAAGGGATCTATACGGTTCCTTAAAGGGATCTGTGGGTGTTTAGGGCTTAGGGTCTACTTAGAAGATCATGGGACTTAGTAACTAGGGTTATAATTAAGGTAACTATACTTATAATTACCTATTACCCCACTTAGGGTACTTATAACCATACTTACGAACTCCCAAAGTCCTCTAAGTAGGGTCCGGAGTCTAGGGTCTATAGGGTTCCTTCAAAGGAACGATAAGGGACCCTACAAGGGATCTACAAGGATGGTGTAGGGTTTAGGGTTCCTTTAGAGGAACGAGAAGGGGTCCTATAAGGGATCTGTAAGGGTACAGTAGGGTTTAGGGTCAAGGGTGCAGAGCGCAGCGTCTAAGTCTAAGGTTTGGGGTTTAGGATTCAGATTCAGGGTTTACGGAGTAGGACGTAGAGGGTGGGAGTTCATTTTGAGGGTGTGGAGTTTAGGGTTTAATCATTTAGGCTTGAGGGCTTAGGGGCTTTGGAGTTTGAGGCTTTTAGAATGGCATTTATCGTTTTCAGGCTTACTCAGGATTTTTTAGGCCAGGAGTCTGGTTGCATCACTGGTTCTGCAGTCATGCTTCCCAGTCTGAAACCCCCCATCGAGAAATCTGCTTTCCGTACATGCTGTGGTACGATTCTAGTGGGTTTAAGGTTTAAGGTTTACGGAGTGCTCACCAAACTCGTCGTGAAATGGCTGATGTGTGATGTGCGCTCGGAGTGCCACGTGCCTTGTTCCTTCTGTGAAGTAAAAATGTCACAATCCATGTCCGTGGCTGAACCTCCCTGCAGTAATAGTAATAGTTATCAGAAGAAGTGTAGGTGAACTATTGGTCTATCGTCTGGTTCAAAGACCGTTCCTGTCAAGGTGGATTGGCCGACCAGAAACCCCAGACTAGAACCTTCAAACCGCGGGTTCTGCTGTAAATCCTGGGCGTCTTCTTCGTCTGCACCTAGCATGCTTTGTCGCGCAATGTAGGAACTGTGTTAGAAACCAGTTTTCGGCATCTCTAGCTAGCAAAAGAGCCTTATGAGACCCGCTATGCCACTCAGCCCTGTTTAGGGTATTGTTGGGTTTAAAACCGTAGGGTTTGGGGTTTAGGGTTCAGGGTACAGGGTTTCGGGGGCCTCGGGACGGTCTCCGACGATCTGCGTGGGCATCTCGGCCACGAAACCGTAGGTCGCAGCGCGCGCCTGGCAGGCAGGGTAGAAAAGGACCTGCCGCCACTTGCCCTAAGGCTCCTTAGTAGTTCCTTTTTGGGGCTCATATATAGAATCCTATAAGGTAATCCCCAAAAGGAACTACTAAGGAGCCCCAGGGTGGTTTAGGGGTTAGTTTAGTATCACAACCCTGAACCATCCTAAACCCTAAACCCAAACCTCTCAAACCTACCAGTCTGTAGAATTTGGGGCTGCGCGTGGGCGGGCTCTTATGAAATTAAGAGTCTCTGCGGCCTTCGTAACAGTTATGGCTGATTAGGGGTGGGTGGGTGTGGGGCCTGAGACATAAGCTTTAGGCTCCAGGATTGTAACCCAACGACACGCACGCGCACTTTGCTGTGCAGCATTAGCCGGTTCGCAGATCTTGGCGTTGAGAGTCTACCCTACAAAGTGGCCGTTCCGAATCATGGGCCCCCGTTGCAAATCCCAGCTTAGTTAAGGACATGGTCCTCCAAACCCGTACAACACTTCTTAGGCTACCGAAGAAGGGCCCATGATATTAAGAACAGCCCTCAAACGCATGGCAGCTGCTGGCGCGGACGCCGCTGAGTGATATTTAGGGTTTAGGGGGTTTAGGGCGCATAGGGTATAGGGTTTAATTTAGGGTTTGATGTGGCTCTGCAAGGGTTTCGCGAGGTTCTAAAATTCTTTCGACAAGGGCTCTATCAATCTTCTACCAGGGTTCTACTTACCTTTGGTGAGTAGGGAATGGAGGAATGGGGTACAATTATAACTACTATTACTACCATTCTTCCATTCCCTGCTAACCAAAGGTAAGAGCACCCCTATAGATCCCGTTAGAAGGAACCCCTATAGATCCCTCTAACGAGCCCTAGAGATCCCTTTAAGGAGCCCTAGAGATCCCTTTGAGGAACCATTCCTTACAAACCAAAGGTAAGTCTATCAGCGAGGGTTCCGGCTTTACGTGCTGAAGGTTTGGGGTCTAAGGGGCGTGGGGCTTCATCCTTGTCGCATTTACCATAACCCACCAGAACCTACCTTTTTTGTAGGGTCCGTATAAATCCCATGTCAGGATCCGAAATCAGAACCTACAAAAAAGTAAGGTTTAGCAGGTCTAGGTAGGGCTTTGAGGCTTCGGGTTCGGAGTCTTAAGTTCAGAGTTCGAGCACAGCTTTCCCACGCATGTGGTAATCTAGGAGCCCGATTAAGAAACCTTGGGCGTTTATTAGGGTTCCTTATATGAATCCTACTACTTTGGGGTTATAGGACCAGGGTTTCTTAATCAGGCTCCCACATTAAAGGACGTGCTGCATCTTGCAGCTATCCAGACAGGCAGAGAATTGAGGAAGGTGGAACCCTCATACTCTGCTTCCCCACGGGAAGAGCCGACGAACGCTAGACCCATGACTAAGCACAGCACCAGAAGCGTCAAACTGGACGTGCCCTTGTGCCGTACCCTCTATGTGACGGGGCAACTGCGGATCTCAGCTGAAAGTAGGGCTACAAGTACATTGATTGGGCTATAAGTAGGTGAAACAGCTTATAGTATACCGTACGGTTCCTTTAAGCGCTCTCAACACCGGAATCCTGAACCCTATAAACCATATACTCTAAACCTTAAGATCCTAACGCCCGTGAAACCTATAAGCCCAAACCCTACAGCACTAAAGAACTCACAGAACCCTCATAGAAAGCCTTACATCTTTAGATGATCATGGGGCTGTGCCGGCGTCCTCCGGCAAACTTCTCCCGAAAACCGGGCTGATGCTTTGATCATCCCGCAAAGCATGTGAGCGCAAGAACATGGCGATGGTTCTATAAGCTTTCTCGAGGCGGTTCTGCAAGGGTGCTATAGAGTCTTTGGCTGAGGGTCTAGGACATGTGTGAGCCACCCCGGGCAAGAGCGGAGACAATAACACAAAAAAGAAACAAAAACCAAAAACCGACCCTAAGCTCAACCCGTGAGATCCACGGCCGCGGAAACTTGCGCGTGCCATGGGAAGGCCTCAGTGGGCCTCGATTCCGGCTCGGGAGGCCAAAGCAACTTCCGTCCCTGAGCTGGCTCTGAAAATCATTTCTCTAAGGTCATAGGGATCCTTAGGGGTGTAGGGGGAGGGGGGGTAGGGGGCCTTAAGGCCCATAATAAGGACTAATAAGGCCTATTTAAGGAAACATAGTCCCCTAGCCCCCCTCCCCTACACCCCTAAGGATCCCTATGATAAGGGCGGGTTTCGTTGGAGCGCTCCGGTGCTCTTAAGGTTTATATAGGGGTTTAGGGTTTAGGGTTTAGGGTTGAGGGGTTTATAGGGACTGAGGTTGGTTTTACGAGGGTTATAATGTTCGGTTCCTATCGGGTTTACAGGGGCTGTTGTGTTTGATGTGGCTTTATCCTTGTTTCTCTGCAGGTTCATACACAGACTGGAAGATTCAGTGGTGAGGGTTTAGGGTTTAGAGTTTAGGGTTTAGGGTTTTTTTTTAGGGTTTAGGGTTTAGGGTTTAGGGTTCTGCTTCATTTCATGCTACCGTTTATCATGATATGTCGCACACTGTTTTAACGTTGTATTTTCAAAGACTGCAAGGATTCTCGCTTCTCCACGGAAGTTTCACAAGGCTTGCAGGGTTGTAGTTACGACGCCGACCGTATTTACCACTTCAGGAGTGGACGGCTCGTACGGCTGCTCAGTTTAGGGGTTTTGGGGTAGGCTTCTATAAGGGTTCCTGTAAAGGGGGTACTATAAGGATACTATAAGGTGTTGGGGGGATTTGATGTAGGAAACTGATTAAGAAACCTTGGGTGCTTGTTAGGGTCCCCTTGTTGGATCCTAAGATTTTGGGTGCCATAGGGCCAGGGTTTCTTATCAGGTTCCTACATTACGGCTGCTCGGCGGGAAGGGGGCTAAACGGTTTGTCGTCTAGGGGTTCTGGGGTTAGTTTAGGAGTTTAGGGTTTAGGGCCTAAGCAACGGCAAACCCTAAGCCCCGTCTTTTTTAGCGTCCAAGTGAATGCTGAGTGCCCCGATTTAGGGTGTCGGGACCAGGAGAGATTTATCAAGGGCTGTGTCAAGGGATCCTGAAAAGATCCCAGCCTTTTGACTTCGATTTGTTGAGCCCTGAACCCCTAACACCAAATATCACGGGAACCCGCCAAAAAAACAACCCTCGCACCCTGATGCAACCCATGGAGCCCGTCAGACGACTATACGCCCTTATAGACCCTTAAACCCCAAACCGTAAACCTAAACCCCTTAAACCCCAGACTTGAAACCCTATATACCCTAAACCTGAAACCCTGAGCCCTATGTAAGCCCCTAACCCTAAACCCTACGTAGGCCCTACACTTTAATCCTTGGCCAGAGCTCGATGCAGCTGGCGCTGCAAGGCGCTGTGACGCTTCCGCCAGGATGCCTCTTTCTCCTCCAGCTGCCTGAAGGAGTCCTTTCAGGGGTTTAGGGTTTGGGGTTCAGGTACTAGGGCGTCTTCTTGCGCAGTAGCCGGTAGTCCATGCTAAGATGGCGCCACCTCACACCAGGATTTGTGGGTGCCGCCCTAACATTTAGAATCGGGGTTGTGTAATAGGATTTCGTTGAACGGGGTTGCCTGAAAGAGGTCGAGAAATCTGTCTGTGAAGTTTCGACAAGTGTTCCATAAGGAAGGGCCCTCATAATGAGAAGTATTGAGACCCCATAGGATATTATAAGGCTTGCTAAGATGTTCGCAGCGTGCAAAGATTCAAAACAAAAGTTGGCTCAAAACTCAGGATCAGGGCTTACTCATAGGGACCCTTGGGGGGGTAAATAGGCTTGATTCAATCCTTATTATAGGTATTCAGGGCCCCTCCCCCCCCCCCCCCCCCTACCCCCCTAAGGGTCCTTACGGCTTTCGGTGGCTGGAGTCCTGAGAGGCAGGCCCGCTGACGGGTCTGCCTATTCTACTCCCTAGGCCAGGAACAAACCAAAACGACCCAAACCGCAAGCCCGAAACCTCAAGCCCCAAAGATCATAAACCCCAAACCCTAGACCAATCATCGACAAAAACCAGCAAGGCTTACCCAAACAACAAAAACCGCAGTACACAACCGACGGAAACAAGAACTTCAGCCTAAACCCTAAACCCGTTGTTTCCGTGAATGCAAAGGCGACCGGAATCATCGGAAGTCCTCGGCGCGAAGCTCCGCTCTCCGCCTCCCCTCCCGCAGCTTCTCAATCTCCGCCTCGAAATGCTTTGGGCCCTTAGGGTTTCGGGGTTTAGGGCTTTAGGGTTCAGGGTTTAGGGTTTAGGGGTTTAGGGCTTTAGGGTTCGGGGTTTAGGGTTTAGGGTTTAGGATAAGGGCTTAGGGTTTAGGGTTTAGGGTTTAGGGTTTAGGATAAGGGCTAGGGTTTAGGATTTAGGGTTTAGGGGTTCAGGGCTTTAGGGTTTAGGGTTCAGGATAAGGGCTTAGGGTTGAGGGTTTAGGTTCGGGTATCGACGGGTTCTAGCAGGTTCCCATAAGGGATCTATGAAAGTACAACAGTGCCTTCCTGGGTTAGGGTTTAGAATTTTGTTTTGAAGGTTAGGTTGGCGGCCTTCTTTGTGCGTCTGCCCGAAACGGCTCCTAACTAGGCTCCACTGGTTGGTTTCGAGATTATAGGTTTTAGGGTTTGGGGTGGGATATTGGGTCCCTAAAAAATCTAAAGAGGGTTCGAGGGCACTGAATTTTTTCGTAAGCGGCAGGGATTCTCGAAGAAAGGTCTTATAAGGGTCAGGTAATATCATGGCTTTCCCAATTTGAGCAGGGTTTGCAGTAGATTAAGGTGTATATCGATGGGGACTACAAGGGGATACTGTTAGTCGGAATTCCGACCCATACATTATGCATGTTTATCACTACCGGGGTTTAGGGTTGAGTGTTGAGGGATTGGAAATTTCGGGAGCAAGGGGTAAGGTTTGTTCTGTTGGCAAGTCTTTGCTCTTTACTGCCTTCGGTGTTAGGGCTGTGGGGTGCGAGGGTTAGCTTAGGTTTTGGGGTTCAGGGTT